CACATTATTTGATCATTTTTTCTGATATGTTTGGTTGGGGTTTGTTCTGAGAGTTTTTGCAAGCCTAAGAAATTATATACAAAAATGACATTTAAAGAAGCCAAGAATACAAAATCAAGAACTCAAGAGCTAGAACACCATATGACTAGAGTTGCTTGCACCCTAGGCTTTAATGTACTTCATTACAGTTCAGTTACCAGCTCATGCTGCCATTTTTGATAGGGCTCAATGCCTCAAGCATCTCAATGACAATTATGTCTGTTATAAGAACAGGCCAGGTTTTATAAAATAAAATAAAAAACCTATCCCTACAGGCAATAAACTTTGACAAAGTTTGACTCAGGCAGGAAGAAAAGCAAGCCAGTCCTGTATAGCCAAATACTGCACTGGAGAAGACGACAAAGTTTGACTCAGGCAGGAAGAAAAGCAAGCCAGTCCTGGTTCATATAGCCAAATACTGCACTGGAGAAGAGGGTTCAGCTCTGCTGCTTCCTTGGACTGATTGAGAGCTACTGAGTGAATCACTGAACACAAAACTTTCACCATAAGTTACTGATTTCTCACTTCTCCACACCCAACAGTGGACATTGGCAATGGAAGACACCAAGGCACCCAAAACTTGGAGTTTCCATGAAACATGAAGATCGTTGGACCCTCAAAACTTGGAGTTTCCATGAAACATGAAGTTTCACTGATCGTTGGACCCCAAATGAGAAAAAACTGCTGTAATTGTGAGTCACCTCATAGTCCCAGACCAACTCAAAACTTGTGCTGGACCTCTATGAGGCTCACTTCTTCCCCTGTGAACCAGGACAACATTTTTCTTTCTCCTTGCAGGGTAACTGTAAAAATACCATGCAGACCCACAACCTTGTATGCATATATAGGCATGTGGAGGTCAGGGAAGGACTCGGGTATTACAGCAGTAAGTGAGTGCCACAGGAAAGCCCAGCAGTAATTATTAATTCCATCTTCAGGCACGGTTTGAATACAGCTCAACAAACGAAGCACGGAAGAATGAGGGCAAGATAAAATATTGACTAGCTGCTCCAGCATTGTCTGGGCTGTGCCCTAGATAGCACAAGGGTACTTGAAAAAAGCAGAATGGAAACACCTAATAAAGGCTGGAGCTTTAAGGATTTGAATTTTCTCTTTTTTTTTATCATTTTAATGCAGTTGGATGCAAAATTATTTAGAGACAATCACATAAAGACATGCACATATAGGGTAATTATATAGGCACATTTTTCTGCAAGTATACAAACATCTTATCTATGTGTACCAAGACTTTTCTAAAACATAAACAAGCATCTGGCACCTAATGCAGCCCTTGATTAGAATTGCTCTCTCTTCTTCATAGACTACCACCAGTAATTATTTACCATTAGCTCTTAATGGGAAGGGATTCAGCAGGGATGTAGTAAACAAGAAAACCGTATAGATTGTCCAATATAGCCTGACTGGCTCTCAGCTGAGGTAAGAAGTGACAGGATCATACCTGGATATTTCAATTCACTGTTTTTATCACCTGGGAAAAGCTCCTTATTAACCTGTACCTGTTCAGGTCTCCACCATGTCCATATAGGCATCACACGAGTGCCCCTTTTTGCTCATGTTACTGTGCTTGGAACCCTAAACTGCTGTGGGGTTAAACATCTGATATGACAGAGACCTGAATGGTTCATTTAGACTAATGACATTTGAACTCTGCTATCTTCCTACCTTCCACAGATTTATTTTTATTTTGCAGCCGGGTAAGGGCTCCCTCTTCCCACAACAGAAACATCTGACTGAGGCAAAAAGATGCTCCCAGAAGGTGATTCATAAGTGAAGTTGTCATGTGGGGAAAAAAGAAGGGAAAAATCCTCTGTGTGGATTATTTCATTACTTTAAAAATAAAATAAAATAACCCAATGAAAAGGCTCATGGTAAAAGGACTGTGGTATTTTTAAAGACATGTGCCCTTTCATGGATATATTTTCTGGCACATCTCACATCATCACCCCATTCCTGTGACTCCTCCACCATCAACAGGGGTTATGTTTATCAGCCTAGAGAGCCCCAGCACCAGGGCAGTCCATATGTGAAAATCAACATTTTTCTTTCGTTACAGGAAAAAACTAAAATATGCAACCAGCACATACTGAAAAGGCATTCAAAATATGACAAAAAAATTTGTTTAAATGCTTTCAGTCTGCAGAAAACAAATGCCCTCTTCACTGACTGGTCTGTGGCAAACTTCTAATTCCAGCCAGAAAATCCAGCATTCCCAGTCTGGGCTAACGACCATGCTACCAGACATGAGTTTATGTTTTTCATGCACATTTCATGTATTCCCACATGCTGTGTTGCTGCCAATAATTTATGACTGATCTGCACCCAGCCTGCCCTTCAGCATTTTATTTAATCTCTGCAACAGTGATTTACAATGACTCATCATTAATACAAAAATGTACATGTGTGTTAACAAGTTTGGAAGAATCTAAGGAGGAAGGCAAATTTTTTTTGTGAGTTCTGGCTGAATGACTTATGAGCCTGCTTAAGAAAGGCAAAACTAACCAGAAATTATATATTAGCTCTTCCCTGCAGCAAAACATTTAGGTAGGAAGAGTTTCTTGTGCAAGTTGCTTTAGAAGAAAAGGGATCCAGCAAAATGTTTGAGAAGGTTGCTCCATAGCCCCCAGGATTTGGGAGGGGATGAGTAGCTCTCTGCACACCTCATGGCTGGGTATTCCCCATGCAACCTGCACACTCAGCAACAGCTTCACAGTCTCCTTGTTCCTTAGCATCCATTACAAAAAGCAGGGGCTGCACTGCCATATTTTGGCATCTCTGCCCAGCACCTGTGATTTAAGAAAGCCCCACAGCCTCTATAGTGTTAAATTGTTGTGGCTCAGGGAGAGAAGGAGAATTGTCTCAATAATTTATACAATTGTAACACCACAGCAGAATTACTGAACTGGCTCAAGTAGAGGAAGTCTGCCCTATATCAACAATACTTCAGTTATAATGTATTTTGACCATTTTTTTTTTTCTTTGCACATAAGGAACTTATAAGAACACACCTGACACAAAGCCAAAGAAAAACCTCCTCATATTCGAGGAGAGACAGGTACTCAAAAACACTCTGGAGAGAAAACTGAAAGAAAACCTACTGAAGGTCACTCTGGAAAAATTCCACCACCTTGAATCCATCCTATGTTCATCATCTTGAAAATTTTCTTGTGACGGACCATCCCAAACTGACACATTTGTCCATTTTGAATCCTGCACTCCCAGACCCCGCAGCAGCAACACACCCGTTCTCCACCCCATCGTTAAACCAGACCCTGATGAGTACCCACAGCTCCTCAGTGGCCCAAAACACCCATTGCTAAACTGAATGACAACCATACAAATGAGGGTAACACCTGGATGAAGGCTGGAGAATGTAAAGTTGAAGTAAACATTAATATTTTCTGGCTGAGCCAAAATACTGTGGGTTGCACTACCTTATAACACGTAAATTTTATGGGGTTTGCCTTTTATTCCTCCATTTTAAATTAAGTATGTTTGAGGCATACTTCATATACACTAAGTATTTGGTATTTTCCTTTATTCAGCATCTTAAAGGGCTTCAAAAAATTGATCTCCCAAGGCTGCTGTGGGGTCACAGAAATTGATAACCCTTACAAGCTATGCTTATGTGAGCCCGCCTGCGTCTCCCAGATAGTGCACTTTGTAAATTAATCCTCCAAAGGCAAATATATTGTAAGTAGCTTGTTATCTCTAAAGTACTAAATTGAAGAATACATGGGATTATATTGACAGAAATTACATTTTCTGTAATGGGGTTTAATATATCTGAAATCTCTCCCATAGGCTCCTACGCTCTCTAAGAGAGGAGGGTTTGTTAATGTAGGTGCAATGGACATCAAGACCAAATTTATTCACTAAAATGGATTAGGCCATGTAATCAGAGCTTCAGTAATATTAATCTCTGACACTTATTGAACAGGAAAAAAAAAAAAAAACCAACAACTTTTGTCTGCAAACTGGCATTCCTCCCTCCCTTTTCCCCAGCAGGCTTGCTGTTTGCCTTGACCATTTTCTGGGTATTACTTCAAAGAGGATAAGGTTTCCCATCATAAACACTAATCTAAAAATATTAGGACAATTAATTAGATACACTTAGTTTTACAAGGTATTAGATTGCAGCACACTTCAAGTATGACACTTGTTCTGGGACAGTGGGAGGAACCCACATTTTGATGCAGTATCAAAGGGTAATAAATCAAACTTTTTTAAAAAGAGGTTTGCTGCTGTATGATACTTAAATTACGAGTAATTTTCACTGGCTGCCTTCACAAAACCCTGAGCAGTTAGCAACCCAAAGTCCACTGCAGAAACAGCACAGATCCTGACTTCCTTCAAATGAATCACTACCATAATAGAGCAGGGGCTCCACCAACCATACCCTTAGCTGGAGCAAATAAATAAGATTGCTCCACACAATGTACTTCAGCAGCAAAAAACCAGATTGTCCTCAAAGTTTATTCATAAACTGGATTTTGAAAACAAACTGATAAAGAGATTCAAGGGTGTCAGTCAAAAAGAAAAACCTCTCTAACTACACTATAAAAAAAATCATGACAGCAGTCCCAAATAACAATATGCTCAGCAGAAATGGGACCAATTGTCCCTGTTTTGCCTCTGACATCTGAACCACTTCCAAGACCAATGTCCTGCAAATGGATCTGCCTTCCTATTGAAGAACAGATATCCTGAGCCAAAAAGACGACTGGTATCAGATGTGAATACACTGAGATCTGCCCAAATGATGGGAAAATAAAATACAGTAGCAGACCTCATACCTTCTACACCTGAAACCACTCACCTGGTTCTATCCCTTCTGTATCAATAAACTTTTGGGGAGGGGAACAACAAGGGCAAGGTGTGCCCCCAAAGAATAACCAAAGGGTGCCATTGGCCATATAGAAACACTAAGGAAAATTACTTACCAATTGTTCACTTGAAGTATAGTGAGACCTGTGTCTTGTGCCAACTGCTTTTTCTGCTCTTCTGAAGGGTAAGGGTGCTATAAAACACCAAAATAAATACAAATATTTAAAACAATGTCCTTTTTTGCCTACATTTTATTTTAAATTAAAAAAAAACCCAAACCAAACCAAAACAGAAGCATGACATCTATTATTGAAAGGTGAAAATGCTGAGGTGTGTCACTCTTTTATAATTATTAATGGGCTACTACATCACTTAATTAATGGCAGTAAAAGACAAGCCAATTATAAAGATTAGTGAAGTGGAGAAATAACTGCTTAGGACACTGACAGTACCTTGATACTTGAGAAAGATATTTGTTGCATTAGCTGAAAATTTTTTGTACTTGTCTCAAATGACCGATTAGAGTAAAATAATTTATTTTTTCTCTTTTTTCTGTTTTTAACAGAACAACAAAGAATGTGATAAAGAACTTCTCTGTAAAACTAAAACACACTGATGTTTTCTGAGATAGTGAAGGCAAAACTTGCCACTGTCCCAAAATAATTTGCAAATAAGATCAGCATCCTGAACATAAACAAATGCCTGTGTTTTGAACACAGGCCAATGCAAGGTCAACAATCAGCACATTTTTGCCTGACATTAGCATGGCTGTGCTGAGCTAATCCTAAGAGACAGAAAATAAATACTCCTTTAATTGAAGATAATGTTATAATTCAATCATAAGTTTCTTGTGAGAACTTGATTTGCTTTCTCAGAAAATTTGCTTCTGCATGAATACAGATTGCTTAATAAATCAACAGCAAAAACCACAACCAAGTCTGAAATGTAGAAATATCATTTCTGTCCTTCCCATCTATGCAAAAATGCCACTGCCACAAAAGGAAATGGCCAAATACTGCAAATGTAAAAAGTCCTGTTTTGAGGCACTGGTTCAGTTCCTAACTGGATGCCCAAGTCTCAGCACATATTTAACTCTGACCTGGACTGCTGCAAGGTGCTTAATAGCATTTCAATAAAGATCATTTGATATAACTGGTTAGTCCTATCGTAATACTATTTAGTAGTTGATTGTCACAAAGTATTTACTGTTAGACATTCATCCATTTTTTCCCCCCCAAAAAATTCCCTCATTCTCTGGATGTATTCTTCAGCGTAATATTACATGAAACATAAACTGAAACCTTGCAAAGCTTAAGAATTTAAAACCTCATAAAAGCCCACAATCTTATTGGTATTATAGCTATTTGGCAGATTTTACATATTTTTGTAAACAGCATAATCTGACTTTTCATGGCTATGTTGCATGCAAGTATCACCTCACATTACCAAAGACGGATTTTTGTTGGAACTCCAGCAACTTCTCTTAACTCAATACATCAATTTCAAATCCCACCACCATGGCCATCACCTCCATAAGAGACTTTTTTTTATTTCCCCAAAATATTGAGGAATTTTCAATTATTTTAAAAGTACAGTTCTCTTGACGGGAAGCTCACAGATGACCTGCACACCTGTAGACCATCCCTTGTATTTTCTGTGTGTACATGATACAGCTCCAGAATTGTAAAGTGAAAAACAAAGGGAAGGGAATTTGTCTTCTTTTTATGGACAATTTGCATTTTACACATGCAAAAATACAGCATGTATTTTACTGTCTGCCTTCTACACACGTTCATCCACAACATCCACATCATACTCATGTCCATCTATCTGAACACAACACTTTTCTTCCCATCAATGAAAAAACCCCAAACCCTACAGAGATAATTTGTAACATTTTCATCTTTACAGCTTACTTCTCATTTCATTACTTTGCTATCAAGCAAGGACAGAATTACTGTTTTTTTTTTTCTTATTTTGCTTTGCCACCTTACATGTGATCTAATTTTAAGTAATTGAACAAACTGTGTCTAATTTCATGCAGCAAGCAATAATTACTAGACAGCCTCTAGCTATTGGAATTGAGAAGTCTGTCTCCATTAAGCAATTTTCAATTGTTCTGGATATTTTTTTTAATAGACAAGACTGGATAAAATTAGCCATCAAAATAATATTGTCATTGTAAAAGTAATGGCTTTAAAAGTCCCAAACTACAAATTCCTCAAATTGTGGTATGTCTAAGGTCATCTGATTTTTTTCTTTTCATATCTTAGTACAGCATAAACTTTTAATTTCATGATAAATCTGTAATTGCCATAATCACATGACAGCCTAGGATTTCACACAGCTAATCCCTCTTAGCTAAAGGGTCACAATGCAGCAGGCTTTTTAACTATGATTTGGTGTGGTTTCAAGTAATCTTAAACACTAAGCAACATTATTATATAAGCTTTCTGTGGATCATACAAGATGTTTCTTTGTAGACTAAAAATAAAATAAAATAATAGAAATGACTTGACAAAGAATCAGCATGCCACAGGCTAGGTTGCTATAAAAACATTCAAAGCCTTAGTTGCATTCCCACCCACAGGGCTTGGAAGGCCTGTGCTACAGGCAAAGGCAGACATCACATTGCAACACAGAGAAAGAGGGAAACCCTGGGAACTGCCATTTTATGAAGAAATAGGAAATTCAATCAAAACTGTTGCTGTTGGTCTTTACTCCACCTACACAAGAATGACTAGTGTCTTCTGAAAACTTTCTAATGGCTGTTTGAAGGAATATAGGCAAATGCACATAGATTTGGATATATATATACATAGTGTGTGTGTGTAGATTATATTATATTTGTATGAATATGTATAAAAGATATCTTAGTCAAACGGTTAAGTTTAAGGTAGTCGTGTGAAGAGGAGAAAGTTGGATTTGGTCCTTAAGGGTCCTGTCCTATTTGAGATATTCTATAATTTTACTAAATAAATAGATAAATATATAGGGAAGAATGAATAAAACCACTGCAGTGACTCCAGCTGACAAGTCCACCTATTACTCTGGATCACTTTGGGATATCAAGGCAAACTGCTCAATAAACAGTGACTTGAGACCTTTGCTTTGTTGTGTACATTAGCTCCTACCATTATCTCTTAAAAGCTTAATTATTTGCAAACAATTGATCAAGATGGGAATTGGAGAAAAGAGACACCGGACCACCGGGAGAGCTGCAATGCATTAGGAGAGCAAACAGAATTACCTTTAGGTCTTATAATCAGAATTAACGATTGGGACCGTATGCAGGGCAGCACGAGAAGCTGTAACGCTCATGCTGGACTGTTTTCCATTTGATCTGCATTAACACCTCCAGTGAAAGCCATAAAACAGTGATTACAGAGGGGAAGGCTGACCCTCCTTCCCAGAACCAGCCCAGCTTGTGTATGCTGGAAGACTGCAGACAGGCTTTCTTGCCAAGGCCAGAGGAAAAGGGTAAATCCAAGGGGAAAAACAAGTAGGAAGCAGGCAGGTTAAAAAAAAAAACTGAAAAAACAAAACCAAAACAAAAAAAAGGCATTTAAAGAAATAAGGCTGACAACAGATAAGGGCTCTGAATTTGGCTCTGATATTTTCTGATCAAGCCTGCTGCTGCTACAGAGCTATAGAGCAGCATCCACTGAATTATATGAGACCTTGTGCTTTTCCCTTTCCATAAATCTAGCATTGAAATGTGGATTGTTTGGCACCATTAATGTGTTTTTGAGGCTCTGTGGTATTACTTTTAATAATGACTTAGTACAGAAAGTGATTGCTTAATAACACCATCAAAGTCTGCATGCAAATGAAAATTATCCCTGGGGGATTTGCCCAGGGTAATATGAACAGTTAAGGAACATTTGAAAAGGTAAAAATAACTATGCAAAATATGAGTCAGAGCAGTCATTTTAGCAGTAACAAAGAAATCAAAGTGACAGAGAGAAAAATTTAACTTTCCATCATATTTTCTCATCACTGTTTTATGAATGGTATTTAGCGAGCAGTAGCCTTAGTAAAAGCCCATTTTTAATGCAGCTTGAGAGCATTTTTAGCAAAAGAAACAATAAGATCTTTTATTTTTTTAATCACTTTTGACTACAGATGGTGGCTAAAGTCTCCATTAGGAAAGCATCCAAGGTTGTCTCTTAATGCTACACCTTGTCCAAATGTACTCCTTTCCTCAAATTTTCCACCCCAGGCAGCAAATGCTGGATGCCAGGACAGCGACAGACTTTATCTTATCTGTAACCCGGCATCAACAGCGCTCCCTCCCCTCCTCCTCTGCGACAGCAGTGCATCATAATGGTGCCAGAAAAATGGGAAAATAATCCTGCCCTTCTCACCCCTCAGATTACTAATTCCTCACGGCACCGAACCGGCTCGACACCACGGCTGCCACCCAGCTCTGCTACAGCAGCGAGGCAGCAGCACTCCCCGAGAGAAAGGCTGCTGGCCCTGCCAGGAGGAGCCTGTGGCACCCATCCAGCGCTGCCCTTGTCGTGGCAGTGCCGTGGCTTGGCTGGCCATGCTGGGAGAACCATTTCGGAAGCCCTTTTGTCCCCTTCCTCCAGCCCTCTGCCTCCTCCGGAGCTCGGTGTAGCGCACCAAGGTGAGACGACCTTGAGCTAAACTCTGGGAGGTGATGAAGAGAAATCACCCCCTTAAAATTTATGCCCCAGGAGTGTTTATTAACTGTTTTCTAACATCAAAATAAAAAAGAAAAAAAAAATCCCAACACTGTGATTTTCTTGTTTCTGAAGAGAAACACAGCCTAACTCAGTATTCAGAATAAAGCTCAAGGATCAGCCCTCCAGTGACAAACTGTACATTGACTTTATGCTGAACTCTAAATTCTTGCTTTACTCAAACTTGTCCAGGGTTAGCTAAGGTGGCAGCACAGCCATTTGAGTCTCTCCCCTTCTCCAACCTCCTTCTGTTTTGCATTTGAACTGTTTACATTAATGATCAAGTTGATCTACGAGAAATTACTATTTTTTTTAATATCCATAATGCTTTCCTATTGTCTCTCAGCTTTATGAATTAGTTTTACTGTTGCAGTGAATGCTTTTTTTGTCTCCTGACTGCACATTATCAAAGGGACACTTTGTGCCTTCCATTTGCATTACAAAAGCAGTGCATGGTGTAGTCTAAGAACAGAGCTTGAATTTA